GGATCAGTGGATCATTATCTTATGCTGTGACATTCAGCTAATTACCTCTGTTTACATAGGAGATAGGTAATTCTTCAAAGTTGCCAAGGAATGCCTGCTGTCCAGAGGCTGTCATAGCCAGTCAGTGATCTGTAAAAGAACTCTTGAGCCCTGATCCTGTCATCCTAATCTTGCTTAAGTTTCATCAGGGGAAGTTAGAATTGCAAGACTAAGGTCTCTGGTTTCATTCTGGATTGCTCTGATATTGAACTATAACTTAATGAACTGATTCTGGAAAGGATTCTTTGCAACTCTTGGGGTATGTCTACACTACACAGTTTTTAGTGACAAGGCTGTGTCGACACAGCCCTGTCACTAAAAATCAGCATGCCTGAACGCTGTATGTCAGCACTTTTGCAGGCAAAATATTTCCACCCCCCCAATGAGTGGGTTTTGCTTTGTCGGTAGGAGAGTACTTCTGCTGACAAAGCCCTGTTCGCTCATGCACTTGCTGCGGCAAAACTTTGTCATTCATGGGGGCAGAGGGCAGAGAGTTAAGCACCTGTGAAGGACAAAAGTTTTGTTGAGTAAGTGTAAGTGTAGACACAGCCTTAAGCTTACCCTCTCTCCTATGAAACTGAGCTAAGGACTGTCTTCATATCTGTATGTATAATGGGCTTTCTCTTTTCTTTTTTAATACATTTTAGTTCAGTTAATAAGAATTGACTGTAAGTGTCTATTCAGGTAAGGTCTGAAATAATGATTCACTTAGTGGGTGAAGTGTATAAGAACGGCCATACTGGGTCAGACCAAAGATCCATATAACCCATAATCCTGTCTTCTGACAGTGGCCAATGCCAGAGAAAGTGAACAGGTAATCATCAAATGATCCATCCCCTGTCATCCATTTCCAGCCTCTGACAAACAGAGGCTAGGGACACCATTCCTACCCATCTGGTTAATAAATATAAATGGACCTAACCTCCATGAATTTTTCTAGTTCTTTTTTGAACTCTGTAAAGTCCTGGTCTTCATAACATCCTCTGGCAAGTAGTTCCACAGGTTGATTCTGCACTGCTTGAAGAAATACTTCCTTTTTGTTTGTTTTAAACCTGCTACCTATTAATTTCATTTAGTGATCCCTACTTCTTATGTTGTGGGAACAAGTAAATAACTTTTTCTTATTCACTTATTCAATTTTATAGACCTCTATCATATCCTCCTTTAGTATCCTCTTTTCTAAGCTGAAAAGTCCAAATCTTTTTAGCCTCTCTTCATATGGTACCTGTTCCAAACCTCTAATCATTTTTGTTGCCCTTTTCTGAACCTTTTCCAGTGTCAATATATCTTTTTGAGATGAGGCAAGCACATCTGTACACAGCATTCAAGATGAGGGCGTACCATGGTTTTATATAGTGGCAATAAGATATTTTCTGTTATATTCTTTACCCCTTCAATAACTAACAGATAAGCCCTACATCAGCACGTATTAAGTAACCCCTGGAAATTTCCAAACTGCAAAACAATGCAAGAGAACTGTTTCACGAGGCATAAGGGATCAGTCGGCAAAGGCTTCTCCAGCCGACAGATCTGCGTCTAGACTGCCATGCTGTGCTGGATCAGCTGATCGTCGGCACAGTGCAGCGGCCATTTTTATTTTAATGAAGCAGGGATTATTTAAATCCCCGCTTCTTTGCCTATGTCAGGTAAACTAGTTTACATGGCTCCGTCAACAGAGCCATGTAGTCTAGACATACCCTGGGTGCTGGTACTCACTGAAGAGTAGGTGTTTTGGGTGGGGGCAACCTCCAACTTCTCTCGCCTGCCACTTCCACAGAGTAGTGTGGAGAGGCAGGCCCTGCCCCAGATGGGCATCAGCCCAGAGCAGGAGCAGCTGAGGGCTCCTCTTCACCTCCAGCTGCCTGATGGTGTTCGGGGTGGAGAGGAGCCCTCATCTAGCTGCTGGCCAAAAGGAGCAAGCAGTGAGCAGGGGGATGGGTTGGGGGTGTAGAGAGATATCCTGGCAGGTTGGCTGAGAGGAGTGAATGGTGGTGAGGAGCAGCACAGTATTTCCGCAAGAACACTGACGATCTTACATGAGATCGTCAGTGTTCTTGCAGAAATTCAAGCGGCCAATGTAGACAACTGGCAACCTTTTCCACAAAAGCAGATGATTTTGCGGAAAAACTTGCCAGTCTAGACACAGCCTAGCTGTCTGGGCTGAAATTTTCTATGCTAAGCATTTGCCCCAGCCTAAATTCTGTTGGAGAACTTCAGCCAAAATGGCCCAGCCATTTCCAAGAACAGAGCTAGGGAAAGTGTCGTTTGTTCCATGGCAAGGACACTGCGAGTCAGTGGGGCAGAAGTGAGTGGGTCTGGTTAGATAAAGACACTATGTGGGCGGACCAAATAAAGAAACTGTGACCAGCTGGACAAGATTTGGCTTGTGGACAGTGATGCAGAAGCAATTGGGACTGATAGGTCAAGGGGACTGTTGTGAAGAAGTTGTGACTGGCTGGGTGAGAACAGGTACTGGGACCAAGTGGGGTGGGGAGAAGAAGCTGGTAGCAGCGGGGGGACAGATCTGACAAGGAGCAGGGTGCAGGGAGAGAACTGGGATGGGCTGAAGAAAAAGACTGGGACAAGGAGCTGTGGGGACAGACAAGAAGCCCAGGGAAGGGAGCCTGAGACTAGGGTGAAGGTGGGGAAAAGGAGAGAGAAGATGAGGAACCGGAAGAAGGAAAAAGACTGGGACTGGTGAAGCAAACAGAATGGATTGGAGGAATTGTAGACATGGAAGGAACTGGGAATGGCTGGGCCAGGGGTCTGGCAGCACGATGGCAGGCTTGGAGTTGGGAGTGGGGGGGAAGGATATATTGAGATAGAGAGACCAGGACTGTCTGAGCAAGGATATGGCCACAGAGGTAAAAAGGCTAAGGAGTGAGAACTGCGTTTGACTAAGCAAAGTGAACTGGAGTGAGGAGCCAGTTTGGTGGAGGGCAGGGCTGGGCTGGGCTGGGCTGGGTAGAAGGGGTCAAGTTGAGAGGAACAGGCTGAAGACTCTCTGCCCAGTAGAGAACAATCCCCTCAAGAGTTTAGAATGGATTCCATGGTTCCTGAGCCTGATCATTCCTCTGTTCTCAGCAAATACCTCTGAAACCCACTGGCAAAGTGTCCCACGCCTCTCTAGGAGTGGTCCACATAGAGGATGACAACTACTGCTGACAGTTACTCCAGTAACTCAAATGGGAGAGGTCAGTAAAGGTCCCACCTCTGCTGCTGACCCATCACATGGGTGTCAGTATAATGCCATGTGATGGAATTTGTGTTTTTCAATTTGCCCTTTCAAAAATCTAGGAAATTGCCGAAACCATCAATGCGAGGAATTGTGAGAAATAAAGTAGCCCAGATAAACTTAATATTCTCATCACATAATTTATTGTGTTTAATTTAATGTAGTGGAAAAGAAGGAGTCAGCTGTGTGACCCAAAGAGGGAGGTAAATAGGGGCAGATTGACAGGTGAAGAAGCTGATTTTAGTGGAAGCATTTTGAACTGACTGGATGGGGAGCAATATGTGCGCCTAGAATCTCAGAGAAGGAGGTTGCAGTAGTCAAGGAAGGAGGTAGAAGCCTGAATGGAAGTTTAGCAGACTGGGTGGAGGAAACCACCCCTCTGCAAGTGGCTAAGAAGTTGTTTTAATTTCATCCCATCATTACCATGTGCTCTCTGACCACCACATGCCCCTTGCTTCCTCTAGGTAGATGCCAGGCCATCAGAAAAATGTTTGGAGAAGCAAGTCTTTGTGTGACATACTAGGACACAATCCAGACTAGTGGGGTGCTGTGTTGTCCCTGCCCTCCAGCCCGGGTTCTCTTTATGGCCCTGCTGCAGTAGCTTCCAATCTCGATGGTTCACAAACTCACAGACTCCAGCATGCAAATCACTCCCAGGCATGTTTGTGGGCGCTTCAGCCAGCTGGCTTCACTTTCTCTCTTACCAGCTTTTGTAATGTGGCAAGGTGACCTCAACACACTTGTCGTCCCTGATCTTCCCCCAGAAATATTTCCTCCAGCCCTTTTCTGGACAGGACAAATATATTGAATGTGCTGTTCTTTTAAGGGAATAATATGCCAGTTTATTATTTTATATAGTTATCCAGATACTTCCACTTGAAAACATTGGATTAGATAAAATAATTAAATACATTTAGTAAATACAGAGGAAGAGATTTTAAGTGAGCAAAGGGCTTTTGAAAGGAAGGTATTGAGGCCTACCCAGAATATGTCAAATGAGCACCAGTTTAATTGTAAGTGGAAAGGAAAGGCAGCACTCTCAGATACAGGAGATAAAAATAAAAACAAAATTTGATTGGTTGACCAACAATAACCCCGCTTTTAGGGAAGTAAGTAACTCAGACAGCAGTATGCAACAAAGTGCTGATTACCCCAAATGGAGCAGACGAAAGTTTTTTGTAAGGGCAGAATGAGACAAAAATCTAACGTCAGCAATTGTCAGGCGAGTGGAGGAGTACCAAAATACCGAAACAGGGTATATAAGGTGGGCTGAAACAGACCACGAGCGGACGGGTTGCGAATCCAAAAAGCCAGGTCTGATCAACCAGGGCTCCCTCCCTGGCGCTGAATCTTGCTGCCGCACATAAGCTCCGAAAGGGGAACGAATACCGGTTGTAAGTTGCAACGAAAAATCCAAAGAAAGGAAAAACATCAAGAAAAGAATATCTCCTGAATTTGTTAACTCCATACATTTTTTAAAGGTAACTCAGGAGGTTATATCTGTAGGAGAAGTTATTATTTCTTGTTTTTTTTAACTGTACTGTTTTTCTATTTTTTCTTTGTATATTATATTGTCTTAAAAGAATCAAAAATAATGAATTGATTTAAATAGAAAATTAATTATAAAGTAAATAGAAAAAATAAATAATCTTTGTTTGACCCTGAAAAAAAGTATTCCTCTCTCTGTGGTTTCAAATCTTTTAAAGAACCAAACCCGGTTACCGAAATGGCGTCACGAACAAGAGCAGACAAGAGCAGAGGATGCCCTTTTAATGGGTTAAACAAAACAGAAGGTATAGGACCTCTCAACCACTAGTTATATCATAATAAGGATAAGTGTGAAGAAAACATGCTCAAAATAGGAGCAGTTCTAGCAATAGGGGAAGAAAATCATACATATACCCTACATGTAACATGTTCAAGGTTGAGATGTTTAATAGCTAATAGTAATCTAGTAAAATAAAAGTTAAAAGATTGCAAAATACCATTACCAAATGTAACACAAAAAAACCCATCTAAAGAAACAAATTATAAAAAACTGCAAAACATATTAGAAAGAACAGCCGATACGACAAATCCGTATCGAAATGGGGGTACCCCAGAAATATTAAAATTGCCAAGTCAAACAACTAAGAAGTTAATGAGAAAAGTACTAGAGGACCTTATAAGATATGCTAGAGAAAAGAAAAAATTAACTGCCGACAAATAAGATCCAAATAAAAGGGTCCGTGTACTTTAGCACTAGTTGAAAAAAGCCGGAAATACAATAACTAAATTAGAAGGCACAGTAAATACCCTACAAGCCTTATTAAAAAAAAAAAAAACTCAGGAAAGAGAGAAAAAAAGAAATAATAGAAAAAAAATATAATAAAACCAACAGTCCCACCCCCTCCTTATCCTGAATCAGTCATAGAGGAAAATCAAAAGGAAGAAAGGAAAAAAGTAGAAAAAAAAGGTGTATATCCATGGGATATGCTAACGGAAGGAATATGCACAAAGGAATGTAAATGTAAGAAGGAGATAGGAGAAAAGATTAAGGCTGGAGATGATTTAGTCAAAGCTCATCCAATAACACAAATAATATATAAACAGAGGGGAGGACTTCCACCTGTAGCCACTATGAAATCAAAGGAAAAATCCCAAATAGAAATGAATGACTTAATAAGTCGAACCCGAAGGAGACAAGGAGAGAACCCAGTAGTGTAGGTAGGAAGGCTAGTAATAGAAAATATAAATGAATTAATTTCACAATCAAAGCTAACTATATTAACAGAAAATCCTAGATATTCAGGAGGGCTAATAAAAATAAGTTCAGCTATAAGGAATAAAAACTAGCCGTTAACTTTACCAGCCGCAGTAGCCTTATCAATAGCAGCTACAGGGCAGGGAGAAGCTGTACCAGAAAGTTGCATAAAGACGAAAGATGTTAAAGCTGCAGCTGTTGGAATGTCCTTCCTATTTTACCAACCCACAACAGCAGCCCAAGAACAGTTAACAGCAGCACAGAGAGCTGATCCTCACCAATTTAAATATATAAGAGATCCAAGTCTGATAACAATGGACAGAGTAACAGCACAAATAGTATGGCAAAAAGTAGAAAATAAGGAAGGAAACCAAAGCCTAAAATTGTAGCTAACAGCCCTAACAGGGACTAGTGTTTGAGAAATACTAAAAACTATAAATGATTTAGAAGTAGTACGCAAACATACCCCAGCACCAGCGTACGAACCCCTGAGAGACACGCGTAAAACGTGCGAAAGTTTCCAAACCCCAAAGAAGAGGAAAAACCCAAACAAAGAAGAAAAAGCCATATTTAGTTTTCTGTTAGGAAATAGATACAGTAGACCAGATTTAAAAAAGATAACTCCCCAAGAACAAAAACAGGCAGCAATAGAAAAAAGATAGCAGAAATGGACAAAATTCACTAAATCAAAAAACGAATAGCAGAGGCCCCAAACCAAGGGCCCGGAAACAATCCAAGAAAAAAAAAAAGAATTTATATAAGTGCTGAAGTGTTAAATTGGAACACTAGGAATTATGAACAATTTAAATGGTTATTAGATACAGAGGCCCAAATAACCATAATAGATATAGCAAAAGTACCACATAGAAAAAGAAAACGTAAAATATAGGTGTCTAAACTAAATAGAGATAAAATGTATCGAACAAGGGTAATAGAAGTAAAACAAAAACAGAATGTAACAAAAACCACGGTAGTACTAAAGAAAGAGAATACAGGCAGTCCCCGGGTTACGTACAAGATAGGGACTGTAGGTTTGTTCTTAAGTTGAATTTGTATGTAAGTCGGAACTGGTACATATTGTAGGGGAAACTCTAGCCAAACATTTCTCCAGAGCTCAGTTTTATTCTCCCACACCTCACTTCCCTCAGGCCTTTATTCTCAAGCCAAAAATTCTCTAAATCAAAAAACGAGTAGCAGAAGCCCCGAAACAATCCAAGAAAAAAAGATAATAGAATTTATATAAGTGCTGAAGTATTAAATTAGAACACCAAGAATTATGAACAATTTAAATAGTTATTAGATACAAAAGCCCAAATAACCATAATAAATGAAGCAAAAGTACCACATTAAAAAAGAAAACGTAAAATATGAACGTCAAGACTAAATGAAGATAAAATGTATCAACCAGAAGTAATAAAAGTAAAACAAAAACAGAATGTAACAAAAACCACAGTAGTACTAAAAGAAAAGAATATACTAAGCATAAATATAATAATACAGAATCCAACAATACGACAGAATTTAAAAACAGTATTATCAATACAAATATCCAATGAAAAATTACATGTCACAAAAGGTGAATAGTATACCAACAAAAGCAGAAAGAAAAGAACCCATTAATCAGTCAGTTACTAGATCAAGGAAAAATTAAACAAGTATTACACACCCAATATAGGAGTCCAGCATAGGAGATACAGAAAAAGGAAAAGAGAAAATAGCGAATGGTAATAGATTATAGAAAAATAAATGAAGCAATACAACCAGTTGCCTTTACCACCCCCTGAGACAAACCAACTATAGAACAATATTTAAAAGAAAATGAAAAATTAAAATGGGGAGCACTAATAGATTAAAAGAATATGTTTTATAGTATACCTATAAAAGATAAAAAAGGAGCCTTAAATTTTTCAATTAAAGGAAAATACTATAGGTGGAATGTATTACCCCAAGGTTATAAAAATTCACCAGCATTAGCAACAGATGCCATGAGGTATACCCTTAGTCAACAAAGTTAGGAACAAGATCCCCAAATAATATACTATGTAGATGATCTTTTAATAAGAGAAAAGACACAAGAAAAAACTGAGAAATTAAAACAAGAAGTTATAGAACACTTAACCACTCAGGGATGGCAGATAAACGAAAGAAAAGTAACTATGGCCCAAACTGAATACTCCTTTCTAGGAATTCAGGTGATGGAAAATAAAATAACAATAGGTACAACTTACCCCAATGGTGTAGGTAAGTGGTTAAAAAGCCCTCCGAAAACCCGCAAACAGCTACAGGAAGTTTTAGGCATAGTAAATTATAATAAGGCAAGTATTCAACAGTTAGGACATAAAATAAAACCCTTATTGAAATTATTAAAAGAAAAAAAAGATTTAATTAACTAAAATGAAAAAGCCCAAGCAGCCTTAATAAAGTTAAACCAGGATTTGAAATACCCCACTCCATTAAAAAGATGGGACCCTAAGGGGCCCCCGATAGAATTACAAATTAACTAAAATGAAAAGTGGGTAACAGGAAGTGCAACACAAGGCAAAACACAGGAAGAGGTAGATAGATGAATTTTGCAATTTAACGGACCCCAAAGACATTATGGTGAATATGGAAAAATATTATAGGTTTTAAATGAAATAAAAAATAAGTACTTTTTAATGACGAGTGTAGCTCTTACCTTACACGCTCCAAAGGTGTCAGCTTTAGCATGGCTTACCATGAAGATAATACCACCAAACTTTGAGAGCCAGAAAAATACTTAAGAAAAACTGTATTATAGCTAGCTAGTAAGTTAGTCAAATGTTAAACTAGGAAAAAATTTAGTACCCTGGGAAGCCCCAAAAGCTACACCAGGAATAACAGAAACACCCTGGATATTTACAGATAAGAGCACGAAAAAAGGAAAAGGAAAAGCAAAAGCAGGATATTACTGTACCAAATGTAAAAACAAGTTCTTTATTGTGTTAAAGGAAAAAGTGAATGCCCAAGAAGCAAAAGTAGAAGAAGTTAGAATAGGATTACAACATGCACAAGAGAGTCACCCTAACGAACCATAGGAATTAAGCATAAATAGTATGTATTGTATAAAGACACTGTTAAAAAGGAATACAGACATTGAAACACATGCAGGGTGGAGAGAAATATGGACGATAATTAGAAATCACGTAAGTGGCACATCAGTGAAACATATCCCTAGCCATAAAGAAGGATACAATCCTGTCCACAAACAACTAGATAAAGAATTGCAAGAATTTAAAGTGTTAGTAGAAAAAAACAAAAAAAAAAGGAGAAGTGGATCCATTCATAAAATAGTTACATGAATGTACAGGCCACTTTAAGATACAAAAGAAAAGAGAATAAATAAGACAATATACAGGAGAAGAATCAATAATTAAAGTAAAAGAACATAAAAAAATACATAAAGCCTGTAAAATCTGTCACAATACTAAACGCATGAATCAGCTAAAATATGCCTATAGTGCATATAACCCAGAATATTATAAACCAGGAAACCATTGGCAAATAGATTTAATAGGACCATTACCAAATGCTAAACAATACCCAAAGGGAGTAATTGTAGTAGATTTAGGAAGTCGGAGTACTATGGTAATTCCTTTGAAAAAAACAAAAGCAGAACTGTGACGTAGTGGGGGTACCTGGCTGGTTTCTATGCTGCTGGCTCTGGGGGAACCCCCACTGGCTGCCGTGGGTACCACGACCCAGCAAAAGTAAAAAATTAGAACAATGGTCCATGGAAAAGGGCATAACATAGCATTTAAATCTCCCATACCATCCTCAATCCAGCGGAGTGGTAGAAAAGAAAATTGATATTTTAAAACAACATTTAAAAATAGCAACTAAGGATGGCACCTTTAAAAGTTGGCACCTAGTATTAGATACAGTTTTATTAAATGTAAATGAACATACAAGCCGATGGCCAGATATAAAACCTAAGCAGCAACCAAACTGGGAGCCCTCCTATAAGCAAGAAGAAAAAATATAAATTGTATGGCCAGCGGAGGATAAAGAGAAAAGAGTGGCATTAGAAGGAACAATAATGGAAGCTAGAAAGTTACCATTCACCTATGTAATCACAACAAAAGCAAGAAAAGGATTAGCACACCATAATTAGCTAAGTAGTAGAGAATGAAATTAACAGTTATGCAAGATTATATGTTACAAGTTGTTCATCATCACTAAAAATCATGTTAATGGTGCAGGATGGACCAGCTTAAATGGTAAGTATAATCCATTACAACAAAACTAAACCTAGGTAAAAAATAACAACACCACCCAAACTAAATTAGCTAACAAACCAGCCCAGTGGCAAGTGTGTAAACTAAAATATACCACCCACTGGAAAGAAGAGGTAAATCAAACTCTAGTTATAGTTCAAAAAAATGATACCAGTTAGAATATGTCCCACTTGTATAGTATTGAAGCTAACATAAACAATTAAGTAAACAAATCATATGATAGCACCCCCCCACCCCCAATACAATGATAGGCATACAGGCCCCAAGCCTAGGTGTATTTAGCTTTAGCTTAACACCATTATATGGCATATAATTTAATATTAGCAACCCAACAGAAACATGTAACCCATGAATCCAACCCACATTTGTAACAATTCCACTATCTGGAACCACAGCCTTAGCTACACCAGATAGTAATACAACCCTTCCAACATTAACAGTTGTAATACCACCCTCAAAATTACAACCAACAGAAACAAAAGGAGTAATAATAAGATTGCAACCAGCATATGAAAATGAAAGAAGGAATATAAAATATAGCATAAATTACACAACATGGGGGTCACGAAGAAAGAAAAGAGGAGCATGAAATATATAAGCAACCAAAAATTATTAAGGCAATGGGAAGAAAATGTAAAACCAAATTTGTTAGCAATTAATTCATTAAGTAGAAAAATAATAGTCACCATGAAAGCTAAAACGGCAAAATTATTACATTAGGTAAATGCAGCTGTAAACATATCTAATACAAATGCTAATAAAACACAAGAATGAAGTAAAAATATATCTATGTATTTAAATAATCTAAATTGTATAAGTTTGTATAGTAGTAGTAGTTTTAAAAAAAAATTATTGCAAAAAATTGAGGAAGATGAGAGAGGGATAAGTGGAAGGGCACCATTGGTAAAAATACCAAATACAGCACAAATAAGTCATAAAATAACATCCCATAGAATTAAAATAAGATAAGAAGCAATAGTGTACCAACAAGTAAGATATAAAGAAACAAGTAAAGTATAAGGAAGAGGAATGGTTACTACACCTGAGCGTTGGTGTAATAGTTCAGAAAAGTTCACGATGTGTAAACCAGCATTGTTTAATGAACAGAAAGTTGTGTCCACATTAACGGGTAAAATTAATTGGTTACCAAACAAATGTAAAGAATACATAGGCTCTAACCAGACCCATTTAATTGTTTGTCACTGTAGTGACTCAATTTGGCAATTGTTAAGCAAAAAGATAATGCATAATAAATGTTATGTTGTACCAGTTAAAATGAATGTCACCGTACCTTTTTGTAATGTAAATGGACTATGGAACTTAACACAAATGGGATACAACTGCACTGGAAAAGGCAATAAGACTATTGAACAAAATACGGTGTTGTGGATCCGATTTTTAACAGGAGAAGTGAAAGCCATAACAAAACAAACTTTCCAAGACGCCCAAGTAATATTACGAGTGGTAAGGAATGTGGATGAATCACCCATAACAATTGTGGACATATTAAATAATTTTGATTGAACAATTAATAAAAGTATAGAAAGTGCAATAGGATGAGGAGCAAGTGTTTAGAACTTTTTATCCATGTCAATATCAGGAAAATAGTTTTAGATTGTTTGTGCAATAATAATATTAATAATTGTGATAAGAATATTATATATGTGTGGAATATTTTCCCAAAAACAAACTATAAAATATATGAAAATAAAACAAATAGAAAATGAGCAAATAGCAGATGCACAAGCACAGAGGGAAATAGAGTTATTGTAATTAAAGTGTCTCATTTGACACGGGGGGATGTGAAAGGAAGGTATTGAGGCCTACCCAGAATATGTCAAATGAGCACCAGTTTAATTGTAAGTGTAAAGGAAAGGCAGCACTCTCAGATACAGGAGATAAAAATAAAAACAAAATTTGATTGGTTGACCAACAATAACCCCGCTTTTAGGGAAGTAAGTAACTCAGACAGCAGTATGCAACAAAGTGCTGATTACCCCAAATGGAGCAGACGAAAGTTTTTTGTAAGGGCAGAATGAGACAACAAAAATCTAATGTCAGCAATTGTCAGGCGAGTGGAGGAGTACCAAAATACCGAAACAGGGTATATAAGGTGGGCTGAAACAGACCACGAGCGGACGGGTTGCGAATCCAAAAAGCCAGGTCTGATCAACCAGGGCTCCCTTCCCGGCGCTGAATCTCGCTGCCGCACATAAGCTCCGAAAGGGGAACAAATAAGCTCCGAAAGGGGAACGAATACCGGTCGTAAGTTGCAACGAAAAATCCGAAGAAAGGAAAAACATCAAGAAAAGAATATCTCCTGAATTTGTTAACTCCATACATTTTTTAAAGGTAACTCAGGAGGTTATATCTGTAGGAGAAGTTATTATTTCTTGTTTTTTTTAACTGTACTGTTTTTCTATTTTTTCTTTGTATATTATATTGTCTTAAAAGAATCAAAAATAATGAATTGATTTAAATAGAAAATTAATTATAAAGTAAATAGAAAAAATAAATAATCTTTGTTTGACCCTAAAAAAAAGTATTCCTCTCTCTGTGATTTCAAATCCTTTAAAGAACCAAACCCGGTTACCGAAAGGGCTGAGGCAGAAAAGTCGGAATGGTTACAAGAAGAATAAAGATAAAATACTGGCGGCTAATTTAACACACACTATGTTAAGTTCAAAGTCAAGGTTTGTCACCACAGGCTTTCAGGAGCTATTTGACCAAACTCTTTAGGTCAGGACACTTCCCCCAGAGTCCAGTAGCTGCTTTCTTTGCCTTTTCAAGAGCAGACACTATAAAGACCAAACAATGGGGTGTCTTGGAGTTCTGCTCCTTCCTTTTAGGGTCCCGTGCCCCCTTTGAGAAGCATTTCTAGCTGGGAGCAAAGCCACAGGCTGCCTGTGTGGAAGGAAACTCCATGTTGTCTCACAGCTAAGATGTAGTGATAGAAATGTAACCGTGTTAGTCTGGTGTAGCTGAATCAAAAAACAGGACTATGTAGCACTTTAAAGACTAACAAGATGGTTTATTAGGTGATAAGCTTTCATGGGCCAGACCCACTTCCTCAGATCAAATAGTGGAAGAAAATTGTCACAGCCATATATACCAAAGCTGAAACAAAATACAGGACTATGTATCACTTTAAAGACTAACAAGATGGTTTATCATCTAATAATAAACCAGGAGGTGGTCTCACCTAGTGGTTGGAGCCAGGTAGCCAGGAACAGGCTCTCACCTGCATCCAAGGCTACTGGCAGAGTCAGAATTCAGAAATTAGATCCAAGGGTCAGGCCAGGTTCCCTGGGGTGAGTCAAGGCAGGGTGTAGGGCAAGAGCAGGGCTTGAATAAGGCTTATTATTCTTGGAAACAGCTGAACCATTCTGGGTTATCATTTTCCCTCCCGGCTTCCCCTCCCAAGGCAGATACCAGCATGGAAAATTTGGGGGCAAATTGTGCCCCTGCTTCTCTGGACCTTGGATCCTTCAGCAGTTGCCTGAAATCCAGTGTCTGCCCTCTGGACATACAGTTTCTCTTGTGCCCATTTTACCTTTGCATTTTCTTTCAGCCCCTCCCTGGGGATTGCTGAGTCTTTTGTGTGCCAGGAGTGGCCAGGTCAGTGCTAAGGTGCAGGGACGTGGCAGTGAGTGATTGCTTCCAGATGGATTTGGAACCAGGCCAGACCAGGAAGGAAACCCAGTCCAGCTGTTCTGGGTATATATATCCCTGTTCTGGGGCTGCTAGTTGCTCACATGCTCCTCTGTGATACAGCACTATGCAG